TCACACATAGAATACTTTTTATTAAGTTTAGTTTTACAATAACGCTCACTTGAACATCTCGATCAGAATAAGTTGCAACCCCATCAGGCCTTAACAAGTAATTCAATGTTATTTAGTTGTAAACATGTAGTGTCTTGCCTCTAGCTTTTAACCATAACAGTTTATGTCTAGCTTTTAACAAAACGAAACAAAAATTACTTGGTTCTATTTTTTTATATTACGCAGTACCGATTCGGATATTGGCGATTTGCTTAAACGGCGTACTACTGTATTATAAAAAGGGACAAAAGATATCGACGTTTGTTTTTCCCGCGATTGTGAAAATATGAAAAACACAGATTATCTAAAATATTCGACGTTTTCAAAATGCAATACACACACTCTTTTCTTTATTTAAAAAGTATGTTCTAAAACCTAACCTAACGACAAACTGCCTAACGACAATTTTACCTTCAAATAGACCAGGCGTAGTTTCCGGCCGGTGTCGCTGCCCCCAAAAAAAAAAAGGAACACGGTATATATCCTCGAGTCAAATAGTCATGTACACGTAATTAACAATGAGTACCACGTAACCGTATACCCATTGCCGTCGAGTTACACGCGATCCGGGCCTCGTGCTCTCCGAGGCTTTTGCTCGAGAAAATTTGAAGATGTTGGATTGTGTTTTTTCTACAGATTCGTCAATCCGATGCTGTTCTAAAACACAATTATTAAATGAAACTAGTTTACGAAATTTATCGCGTTTTTTATTTTGATTTGAACTCCCGACGTTTCGAACCCTTTCCAGCGTTCATGGTCACGGGACAGACTAAGTTGTTATACGTCTTGATGTCATAGTTAGCCCCGGGTACCGTCAATTATTTTGTTTATTTTTATTCCGATCCACGCAGAAGGAGCTTATGGTATCCTGAGGTCTGGCAGTATTGGTGTGCTTGGATTTAATTTTATAAATTATGGGATCCCAAGCAGATGATAAACTCCAACCATCTTCTCTATTGAAATTAGGATATTTATTTATTTCAATAGCCTCGCGGATCATCCTTGGAAGGAATCGGTGTTCTTTTGCGAGGATTTTCGGTTGATCAAATCTAATGTAGTGGTTGGGTGGGTCTAAAATATGATCACAAACTGCAGACTTCTTCAACTGTCGGTGCTTCACGTCAGCTATGTGTTTTTTAATTCTGGCCGGGAGTTCAAATCAAAATAAAAAACGCGATAAAATCTGTAAACTTGTTTCATTTAATATGTATAATATTCGCGTAAAATCAAGAAAAACATAAACAAAATTGTTTTCTTTTCATTGAATCCGCCGTTTTAAACCGCAATGATGGACGGTCGAGTTATATTAGCTCGCTCCTAAAGAACTCTTTCGTTACTTGCAAAAGTAAAACCTCGTTTTTATTCCTATTAAAGGTTTTTCTTTGTGTTGTGTCTAAGTATACCCTGACCAAAAGGTCACTATCTACTCCCAAACTAGGCAGAGCTTGTACAATGGATACAAGTTGACCAATAAACATACTTTTATTCTGTGAATAAATGTATGTTACAGATATTTAAACATAAGACATGGGAAAACATATTTATCGCTCAATATTATCCCAGTAGTGAAGATCGAAACCTTACCCTCGGGTGCATGAGGTAGCTTCACCATCCACTGCGTCGATCGATTCGATAAATTAAGATCCTCACGGAAGCATTCATCGTGGATGTTAAACTTTATTTAACACTTAGGGCCACGTAACAATTGCACGAAAGGGCAAGTCCGTCCGGGAAGTGAAGTAGAAGTGTTGAACGTTTGCGTTTCGTCTTTTGCGTGAGTGAGTTAGCCGGGGTCCACTTTATTAGGAGGTGGCAACGCATGTGCAACCCTACAGGTGTTGCAAATGTTCATGGGCAGGCGTTTATCACCTAACATCAGGTGAACCGCCAGTATATCTGTGTCTGACTGTGCTCCCAAATGAATGACCGACTTCGACTTGCAGTTTTTATATTTGATGATGTGAACAAGATGGTTCTTAGCTATAACTTATAAGGATCTGTTACGAAGTTTGAAGATCATCAGCTCATTTGCTACTTGACAAAAGGCTCTTAGCAAATTACACTCCGATTGATTTGAAATTTAGCCTACTGTCACCAGAGTATTTTTGTAGTACTTAGGAGGTGTTTTAGTCTCGGGAGTTATTTAAATATATTAACTTACGTTGAAGGTCCTAGTTTGTGTAAATATGAAAATAATCCCTATTCGAGTATTTTGTTGTAAAATTCTGATGTGTGGCAATGTGTTATAAACGTTACTAAAAGTTAGCGTGTAGCCTCCTTTGTCGCTGTCATTTATGATTATGGTGGTTCTAAAAGAACCGACCGGAAGGCGGTCAAGGTCGGACTCCTAGTGACATGTATTCTTTTGAAGCCTCTATTTAATCTGTACTAATTGTCGTATCCAAGTAAAACATTATTTAAGTGTGCTTGTTATGCTCTGTAAGTCTTTTGTCCCCTTGAACGGGGCAAACTCTATTCATTGCTCAAAGTTTAGGGTTGAAAACGTATTTATTTATTTTATTGCCACGAAGCACGAGCCTGAGGCACCTAAGACTATCGACTGCCCGCACATCTGCATAGGCCGTCGCTCCATCTAGTGGGGTCCTCGAACATTACGATGGTTTTCGTGTCAGCCTGTGAGGGATGTCTATGTCTGGACTTTATAGGCTGAAATGACGATGATGAATTAAATTAAATTGTTGCAGTCTATTTTTCTGTATGTCCTATAAATCTGTTGCTCATACTTTAGTGCTCACATCAACATCTAGGTCAGGGGTTCGGAACCTTTATGGATTTCCGTTCTCCGAAAAAGTGTCAAAGGACGACGCGGCGTACCAAAGCATATTGACTCAATGATTAATGAGGATAAACTAAATATTTAAACTTAAAAATCTTTATTTGCAGCCGGAAATATTTACTTTGTGATCACAGTAACTTTAACAGTTTAATGACATTATTACATCTACATGTTAATGTAAAAGTGATGGGTAGAATGTGCGGCCTTATTAGTAAAAGTAATATCTTCCAGGCAATCTTTTCCAGAATTTCTAATCTATTATCTCAGGATTACTTTATCATGCTACCCATGTTGTCCACCTCTGATCTGGCTTTGCCTGGGTGAGTCGGCGCCACTCGAGTCCAGGTACCTTTGTTACCCAGGTCACAGGTTTACGAACCATTGTGGCCGCACGTTCTCCCCCGTTCCCGATTTATGGGGCCGTCCGTTCGATCGACGCCGATAAAGTTCCAATGCACATTAACATTCCGACTATTACAAATTCCTTTTACACCTGACGCTTCTGTCTTTTATCCATCGAATTTGTGACAATTTTCCGACGAAAGGATTAGAATAGGGTTAAATTTTCAATTAAAATCTCTTAAGTATTAACTACCCTGCAGATCTCACGAGAATATATCCGATAAATTAAATATTTCGAGCCTGTCAAGTTTAGCTCACTTTCTTTTTAAAGGTTCCAGCCAGAGGTTCACCCTTTCGTGACAGTGGTCACCACCAGGTAAACCTATAAATTAATGTTTGAAAAAAAAACCCACGTGTCAATTGGAGTGTTAGTTAGTCGTTTGAAATAATCGGTTGGCCGGCTCGCTCATTAAAAGGCCGGGTGACTGAATCGTGCACCAACAATAGACTGTAAAATGGAGTTGAAGTATTTCTGTTGGAATAAGCTTTACGCGACATACTTTACGACTCGTTCGCTTGTTTGCACGATCGTATACTCAGCGTGTGTCATCAGCCATCGGTGTCCCATATGGTCTAAGGCGCACTAAACATTAATCTGCTGTTTTTGTGTTGCCGAATTTAGTCCGTAATCAAGCGGGTATTTGTTTGATATTTAGCCATTTGCTAAATATCTGATTCACCGTTTTATGTCCACTTTGATTCTTAGATAACGTTGCCTTGGTGATATTTACTCTTCCTCCACTACTAGAACAAGTGTCTGAATTTTTCCAAGCTTGCCTCGATTCACTAAAATGTTTGTGTTGATGTTTCCATTTATTTCTTTTGCATGTTTTGTGTATCTGAAAGGCTTCTTTTGCATTGAGTTTTCTATAAATGTTTTCCACGAGGGTCTTTACGTGTAACGTGTACCCTGTAGACGTTAAAATACGTCATGTTCCTATTGAATTTACACATGATGTTATGGCCTTATGATCGTGAATATTTTAAAGTGTTTTGATTCATAAGTGTTTTAATCTACTTTTAAAATGATGAGGTTTGATAAATGGGAGACTAAATTATTTTTTGACACTCTTTCGAATCAGCTCTTAATGTGTCCGTTTAGCGCTTGCCAGGCTGGTCGAGGATACGTTTTATACAAGGGACAAGCATGCTTACAACCGTCATAATGTGTTGTTGTGAAAGTATGTGCATGCGTGCTGCTAAACTTTAAATAGTTTAAACACTGCTAATAAATGATCTGCTATGTTGGAGGCTACGTTTTGTACAAGTATGATGGGCACTTTGTCACTCTAGTACGGAAATACCTAGAGAAGGTATTTTATTGTCCACCATTCCAAGTAACAGTTCGGCGTGCCCCTGCGTTGCCACATTTGTTAACCATTACGGGCCCGCTTTACTCGCACACGGCCCCGGTAATGCCTGATAACGTCGCCAGATAACTTATCTAAATCCCCACCTCTTGTGCAAACACACAGACCGACTGCGCCCCATATAGCGCGCAAACGACGGACCGTTTCGTGCGAGCTCGCGCTCGGTCCTAGTTTCATTACTATTTTGCTACTAGACTATTTTGGGTTAGTAATTCACATTACTTTAGGGCCGCATGTATGCAATACTTACGTTTATTTCTTTGCACGATGTGCGTCCTTATCTGCTTTTGTATAAACGTGTCTCCACCCCTAGTAGAAGTATTTATTCTATTGCTATGTGCTATTCTTGTTTCGTTATGTGAGTGATTTAACGGGCATAATCTTCTCAGAGGATGCTCATACTCATCCTCCAGAAGGATGTCCACAAACGGATTACTTACCATCAGGTGAACCGCTTGCTCTTTGGGCCTTGCTTTAAAAAAAGTTGTAAGCAACATATCTAGCAGTTGGACGTGATATCTATAATTTAGTAATATAGAAGAGGATCCGGCGGACATTGTACTGGACACGCGACTTAACTCCGACAACAATTTATAAATTAAAAAAATAAAAAAACATTGTGGTGGACCGAATTGTCAATCTTAACCATTCTCCACTCGAACCAATCGAATCCACATGAAGACACACAAAAAATTTCATTAAAATCGGTCCAGCCGTTTAGCAGGACTTCAGTGACATACACGCACACAGAAGATTTATATATATAAAGATAATTTGGTAAACATTTCACCTGCTACATGCTACTAGTAGTTGATAACGAAAGCTCTACTGAAGAGAGTTTTAGATAGTATGATCGATTTAAAAAAAATGGTGGCCACCTTAAGTTTAATTAGACCATCCTGAACATAAGAAAACTATTATATATAAACTCCCCTAAAAACAGACAATTTCGATGTTTTACCAAAATTAAGATCTCCAAATGAATCCGAGTGTATATTGAATAAATGAATGAAATGAATGAATTCTTAAAGCGCTTGCTTAAATGGTTCCAGATACTTTGTGTACTTTGACTTATTTCCAAAATGACTTTTAATCATAATTCGTGATTAAAATGACTCTTAATCATATTTTGTGATTAAAAGTCATTTTGGAAACCACGAGCGAAAGTGGGAACAGCGTATGTGGTTCACTTGGGGGTAATGATTAACGCTGCCCATGGTCATGCTGAACATCGATAGCGTTGTAGATGCGTTGTCTACCTTTGAAAGAGTGGACCCTCCTGAAGCTATTCCTCTTACCGTATGAATAAAATTGTTCGTGTCCCCACGCATTGCCGCTTATTGTTGAAAATGCGTACGTTTTGTTGAATAATTTTTATATTATTTTCTTGGCCCTTCGAGCCGGATAAAGTTACCTTTGTATTTCGTCTATAATCGGCCATCGTTTTATCTAAATGAATTTAACTTGTTCCCGTTATCTTATCGGAATCGTATTGAAACATTGATCGTAATCGCAAAAGTATGTTTTGATAATTTTATGTTGTGGAGACTATAATTTTATTGGACAGTCTATCCTTGCAAATTTTTAACATTCCGGTTGCAGGCATAAACATATTTGGCATCATAAATACAATATATTTTTTTTATGTGAAAAGTTGCCAAACGATCAGACGGTTCACCTGATGGTAGGTGAATACCGCCGCCCATGGACATATGCTACACCCGAGGGACAATCTTTTGAAAATTGGGCTCCGGCTACCTCACTCACCAGACGAAACGCGAAAGTATTTGTCATACTTCCACTTTACGCCGGTCTTCTGTGAGGTCGTGGTACTTACCCGGACGGGCCTGCCCATTTGTTCTACAGCCGAGGCTGCTGCGTTGCCCTACCACCGTAAATTTATATACCACAATATTTTTAATGTAAACCCTTCAAGTTAAAGGGTCTAGCATCATATATATCTTTGCCTTGTTAGTGCAAGGAGCGCGCGATCATATATTCACCGAGACCAGTTACACCAATATGCTTATACTAAGCAGCTCTACCGTCGATCTTCCAATCAACGTGTGACATACACCGCCAGTCGTCATCGCTTATCTCTGTTCACGGCTCATTTGCCAAAAGGGAAACGTACGAATAACAAGTAACTGGTAATTTAGTGTTGGCGGTTTAGATAGGGGGCTACAGTGTTTCCAGGCCGCCACATTCAGTATGCCACATTACGGAATGTTGTGAACATTATAGGGTGAATGGCATTTATGAATGTTGTGGACAATATTTATGAATTTTATTTGAGTGTCAAATTCACTCAGAAAATATAAACATTAAATGTTAAAATAGTTTGCATTTAGCATTTGTATTGATGGCTTCAATGACAATGTTTCGAATTCGCTTATTTCTCGCAATTTGATTCTTCTATTGCGTTTTCCTGGTAACGAGCGAACTCCTCCCCATTTTAGGATAAGATTGAACTACGTTCGCTTCGTTTCTACGCTTCTCATAAATCCGAATAAATTATCTGTAAGTCATTCATACCACTTGTGCCTGAAAAACTATCGACTGCGTCATCCGACCCTTCGGATAGTCGAGGCTTTGTCGGCTGGCTCGATCACTGAGCCAGCACGTGGCGTTGCGTGTAACCCTTCAATGACGCTACATTCATAATTCACGAATAGGTGTCGCCCACCGACCCCGAGTCGCCGACACGTTCAATTACGTTGAAGTATCACTTAATTTACGTTGTACTACAGTTATGCTTGCGTAAGACGTTTTCCAGATGGAGTCATTCGTATTTACCAGCAAATGCTATCAATATCCATTGACGTGCGGTAATCGCTAACCTAACTAAAAGGATTCTAATAAAGGTCCTTTTGTGTCTACCAATCACTTGATCAATATAGGTTTCGAGTAAACAAGAACGGATCCTATTACCAATCTCATCGGGTATAGCACTAGTCTCGAAGGGTTCACGTTATACATGTCTATGCGTTAATCTTCGATAGCTTTTATTGAGACCAGTGCACGAACTTCACTTCCAATTAAACTGGGATATAACTAGTAATCTCTGGCCAACTCGTCAGATTTGATACTCTGAATAAATTTAAGCTTAATAAAACCCTACACACCGGCAGGAATAGCATAGCCTACTGACGTTTGCTAGATTTTGAAGTTCACTGTAAATGGGATAAGCATAATGATAATAAGTACCGACAAATGATTAAACGACAAACATTTAAGACGTTATACGTCGTATGAAGATTATATGAAGTCTTTAGAAACTGCTTAGACATTGATCTACTAGTCCTACTGATCAACTAATAATTTAATTAATCAAAACCGAACATCCGTGATCATTAAGTGAAATCCTATTTATACAATACCGCACAATCATTGCACACAAAAAATAAGGCCTTATAAACCTTTAATGAGGAATAATTTATATAAATATTTTGACTTAATTGAATATACTGAATTGTTGAATGTATCCTAGGGAATTAGAATGCTACTTTTTATGTCCCATAATCTATTTTGCTCTATGTCCTAAACCTGAACCTGAAACGGAACCTGCCAACAACCAGCGATAACTATTCACCTCACGCCCCGCTTAACTCAACGGCCGTATTCACCAGAACGACATGACTCAGTCGTTGGGCCATTAAAAACCGGGCTGATAACGTGTCGTGTTTGTACAGTCGATCACATGCACCGCTGAACACCGTAGCACCTAACGTTCTACGTTAAATTGCCGATGATCCTCCATCGCCGGGGGTACGCGAGGGTAACCGCCAAATAATACCAGCCCGGGCACCGGTGCGCGTAGTTTCCTTTGTATTTGCTTAATAAATTGTTGCATTAGTGGCTAGAGATAAGGAGTGCGGCGGTAATTGAAATTGCGACATCGGGCAACGAAGACGGTGGAAAAAAAACGAGTTTCTTATCAGGCGGTCGGCACAGCGAGAGTTGAAGAGAAGGCAAGCTTACGATTGCCGTAATAGAATGCGAGATATAGCGTTAGAGCGTTAAATAAACAGGACTTTGTTGACTTGGTAATAATGTTTTCATCTATAGAATCAAGCTTTACTTTAAATTTAAATGAATCTGAAACGCGATACAATCCGTAAAATAGTTTCATTAAACCATATATAGTATTCGCGTAAACACAAGAAATCAATAGGCTTTACTTTACCCAAAAGTGAAGTAAAATTGTTAAGAATCTCCGCAAAATGTTATCTGCGGTTCTCCGTGCAAGAAGATGTTTTACAATTCACTATCTAAATCCACCACAGTTATCTTTTACTCAATTAAAAATATCAAAGTAAATAAAAAAATAAACTCATGGTAGAAACATGGTTAATCTCGCTTAGTTTAATGAAATTAATACGAAATTTATCTGTTTATTGCAGTTCGTTAATTATGTTTAAAACTTCGTAATTGTCTTTTTCAGAGACTCTCCAAAAGGAATGGCGTTAGAGAAGAGGATTCCGGCTGGTACTGGGACCCACCGGCGCAGACGTCTCAAGTCACCGATCATGACATTGAAAATGAGTACAAAATGCAAATACGCACGCTACAACAGGAATTATCCTCCCTGAAGGAGCGCGAAGATAGCGTCGTTGATCCAAATAGTGAAGTAGTTCGTTTGAGAGAGGAAAATTCAAATCTTATGAAAAATCTAGAAGATTTGGACAGTCAGCATCGGTTAGCTATGGAGAAACTACTCACATTGAAGAAAGAGTTACAAAAGAATTTTGAAGTCCTAAAGCGGGAACACGAAGAATTGAAAAATTCTAACGAAGAATACAATCACGAGATCAAAACCTTACTTTTAAGAATTGATGAACGCGATAAAGAAATAGAATGTTTAAAACCTCTTAGGTCTGATTACGATACTTTGCTCCATAAATATCAAAATCTAGAAAGGGTTCATAGTTTATTAAGAGAAAACACTGAGAAATTTCATGAAGAAAATCAAGATTTACATGAGGAAATTTTCAAACTACAAGAACAAGTAACAAAACTGGAGCACGACCTGGAGCTTACGAAACAATCAGACACATCCAACACAGTCACTAAAGAAAAGTATGAAGAGTTAGTAAAAGAATGTGAGACATTGAGACACCGAAGAAATTCTAATCATACGCATTTGGACGAAGTAAATATAGATGATAATGCCAAAGGTGTAATTGAAACATTAAAGCGGGATATCAGTGATTTGAGACACAAGTTATCTCAGCGTGAAATTGAAGAACATGATAATTCAGATAATAAAAGCATTAAGGCCGATACGGTAATGCAACTTTACAATAGATATGTCAACTTTGAATTACCACTTGATTATGTAGGAGAAATGCCTTCATCAGGGGATAATATGTTACATAAACTAGAAAGCGTTTTTAAAGCTGTTAACTCGTTTAAGAAAGACATTGACACGTTAGAACATAAATTGTCCGAAAAAAATCTCAGCTTAAGTCATTTGCAAACACAGATAGATGATATTACAACTGAAAATGATTTCTTAACTACAGACATTCAGCATTATGAAAGAGAATTAGATGAAATGAAAAAAAATAATGATTTTCTCATCTCCGAAATTGCATCTTTAAAGAATACATCTAAATTAGAGCCTATAAATGAAACCCACGAAGACAATTATACAAAGTTAGAAACGGAGTTGGATGATTGTAATAAAATAAACAAGATTTTCGAGATGGAAATAAAGAGGATACAAAGAGACCTAGCGGAGGTACAAGCAGAAAAAATTAAATTACAAGAAAGTCTCAGTGATTTGAAAAAAAAGTATACAAATATGTTGAATGAATTAGAAATATGTAAAACTCAGACTAAAACTATAGTTGAATTAGAGAATAGTTCACATACTGATAAGAATGAAATATTAAAAAAATCAATTGATGAAATTGATAATTTAAAACGACGTCTTAGCGCTGCTAATGCTAAAAATGAACAATTTGCTATTGAAAGTCACATAATTGAGAATGATAAAGTTTTGCTTACTAAAGAAGTACATGATCTTAAATATATGCTAGAGACCAAGTCAGCTGAGAACCAAGAATTGCAGAAGACAAATATTAGCTTAACATCCAATATTATGGATTTAGAGAAAAAGTATGGAAAAACAATCGATGAACAAAACCAGAACATAGAGGAAAAGAGGGAAATTGCTATATTAGACAATACAAAGTCCGTTTCTGAAATTGAAGCATCTGATATCAGTTTGGTATCCGAAAACACGACATTAAGAAACGAAAATTGTGAATTAAATAATACGATAAAAAATTTAAAAGACCGTATAATTGATTTATCTAATGAAAATAACATGCTTAAAAATAATTACTCAGTTCAACTACAAGAACTAGACTTACTTAAAAAAACAATAGAAAACAATAAAAACCAAATCGCTAATATTGAAATAGTGAATAAGGATATTAAGGTTGTTAAAGAAGAAAACAAGAAATTAACGGAAATGAAACTTAATTTAGAAACTGAGTTATTTTCAAGCAATAAAAAAATTCATAATTTAGAAGAAGAAATCGATAAGTTAGTGTCTGATCTTAAGGAAAAAGATGACATGGAAAATACAATAAAGGAAAGTAATGTGACGTTAGTGAAATGCAAAGAAACTGTAAATCACTTACAAAATACTCTTGGTTTAAAAAATCAAGAGCTAGAACTCGTTAACAAAAAATATGAAGAAATATCTAACAAATTCAATCAAAACAATGAAACTTTGTACAGCACTCAGCAAGAGTTACTTGCTGTACAAAATAAAAATGAAGAAATCGATAAACAATTATATTTACTAAATGACGAGTTGAATAACAAGACCACAATCATAACGAATCTGACTGATTCTTTAGAAAAACTAGAAAAAAGCAGAGAGGAATTTAAATCACTAACAGAAAGTAAGGACAAAGAGATTAAAGAACTTAATCAATCAATTGTAGAATTAACGGACAAAATGAAAACAATTGATTGCACTCATCAGAACGAAGAGTATGCTAAATTAGTTGAAGAAATTTCTTCTATGGGTAAAGTTACTAACGATCTAAATAATCAACTTCAAATTAAGCAAAACGAAGTCTCTGAATTAGAACATAAGATAGAGCAACTTGAAAAAGCATATGTCGAGTATCAAAATGTTACCGAGCAAATGGAAGCTGAGAAGGCAAACCTGATTAACCTAGTCAATTTAAAACATAATGAAAGCTTGCAATATCATAATGAAATTCAAAGATTAAATCACGTTATTCTGGAACAAACCGAAGAATACAAAAGAATAATTGAAGAAAAAGATTTACTGCTTCGAAATAGTACAAATAATTGTACAAATTGTGAAAGCCTTAAAACGTCATTAAAAGAAAAGGATGAAATAATTGGAGTTTTAAATCAAAACATTACTGATGTCGAAAAGCTTAAAGGGGATCTTACAAATGCAGCAGAAACTATCAAAAATTTGACCAAAAGATGCGAAGATTTGGACAAAAGTCTAACAATCCAATTGGAAACTGTGAAGAAATTGACTGCCGAAAATGCGCAGGTAATTAGTTCTATATGATGTTATTATAACCTTTTATTATCTTAAAGACATAAATGAAACCCTAAATATATTATTTATCTTATAATTATAACTGCGTATTTATAAATCACATGCGGTGTATATTATAACGTGTTTTTTTTTCTTTAACTAGCTATCAGAACAAGAACATAACTCGTCAAGAGAATTGGAACGACTAAGGCAACACTTGATGGAGATGGAAGAAAACTACACCCAAGAGCTAATGACATCAGAGCAGAAGCTTAGTGAATGTCAAGTGAGACTTCATCAAGTGGAGGAAAAAGCTAAACAGACGAGTACTGTTTACACCAGCAATAGGTTCGTTGACGTGTCATTTCTATAATTTATGATAGTTGATTGGTATGGTACATAGCAGACGAAATATATCCATGTTATTCTACATAGTTAACGTAATATATTAATTACAGCTCAGTCACTTTTTTTCTTGAACACGCTTTAAAACGGATCTACTTTGATCAATGTGAAGTTTCAACTGAAGTAAATGTCATAACGTAAACATTGACAGCTTAATGTCGTAGTGCAATATAAGCTGTTATAATAACTCATGTGACGCGAATAAGCCGACTCGTTGGGGAAAATACCCTGCTTCACGAGAGACCGGGTTCAAATACAAAGCATGCATTATCAGTATTTATGACTTGGAATTAAGTGAACAATAAATAAAAAGGAGATTTGGAATATAATTTCTCCAAGTATAGTAATACTTCGAGTTACGTTTCCCCGAGCTACGCGATTTTCTCGTCGTTCCTTTTTTGTTTGACGCTCAAAAACTGTTGAATTCGCAAAACCGGGAGTTGACAATTGATGACCTTATAGACATGCATGAAAAAGTACAAGACATTGAAGTGAGTTTTAGCCCCAGTTTATTTGTAGAAATACTCACATTTATTGATAAATATACTCCGTTTACGCCAATATGACGTACGCTGTTGGCACTAAGACTATATAAATCCTATTACTGTATAAATCATTACACTCATTGCCAACAGAAGCTTTCCAGAAAATTCGCAACAGGATGATGAATTTCAATTTTCAGCATACGGGCCAATCAGGAAGTAGAAACATTACGTAATCAAATTAAGCTTCTGGAAAAGCAAAGAGAAGAAGTTCAGGCTAGGTTGAGCGAAGCAGAGGACGTCAGAAGTAGAAGCGAAGCTGCTCTAACCAACCTTCAAGTAGTTCTGGAACAGTTCCAATTGGGTACGTTCATGTTGTGTATCTGTAAATTCTTCTAAATATAAAATTGAATTTTAAGTTTATCATTTTAAGATAAGAATGCTTAAAGCAAAAGTTTTCACCTTACGATGTCAACGATGAAATTTCTGTCCTAATTTGAATTATAACGTCCGTAATATTCACATTTTAAGTTGCCTTTATTAATAAAATATTATGTATAAATTTTATTTTTGGTCATACTCCACAACAAGTTTAAGGAGAGAAATATTTGACTTTACTACTACTAAGTTTATCGTATGCTTTTACGTGTCGGTCTGAATAGGTTTGATTTCTTGTGAGATTGATCGATAAGCGTCGATATTACACGTGAAAAACTGTCGAACTGAAAGTCTTTTATCGCTTTGCCTTCCGTATCCTCATAAATAATAAATCTCCACAAATATTGTCAACCTAACGGATTATTCCATTGTGAATTTTATGAAAGTTTTCTCTTTAATAAAAGTAACCTTAATTTTTAAATATCAGGTTATCTTTTGTAGTTAGCCGGTAATTTAAAGCCTTTCTCTGCATTTTCCCAGTTTATTTTATATTAGCGCCTAATATGAGAAAAAAGTATAAAATTCTCCTTTATTTTATAAACTTAGACCTTGAGATCGATAAAATATATTCCGTATATATTTTTTTTGGAAAAATTAAAGTGATTTTAGTTTATCCAGTAATCTAGTATATAATTTCTTAATTGCGAATCATTTTCAGAGAAAGAAAGAGATATAGCCGCCGCCACAGAGAAGATAAGAAAAAAAATGGAAGATACAAAAAATCTAAATCAAAGATTACAAGATGAGATAGCAAGGCTCAATGCTAAGTTGGAAGAATCATTAGCGGGCTTACAGGCTGCATCAAGGCTGGGTGACCAAGTTGAAACGAAAACCGCACAAATTAACGATTTGAAGGAACAAGGTAAGGCTGAATATTCAGTAGGAATTGAGGCAATTAGTGACTCTGCCTCGTAGATGATTTTGTATTTTATTTATGTATTGTATTGTTGTCTTTGGATTGTATAAAATATTTTGAATGATTGTTGTAAATAATTTCTTAAGCAATTTAGAAATGTCAGTACAATGAGAGACGCGTATATGTGGCGTGGATCGTTTTTATTACCAAAACGATCATAAATATTTGATGCAATTAAATAAGAGGAATAATTTATATCTTTCATGTCCCCCGCGCCACATATGTGTGTCCATGTCAGTAGACGTAATAACAATTTGTTTGTTTGTTAATAATTTTTCAATAGTAGATAGTGCGGATACTAAGACAAATCCGACATCTGACTAAATATCAGCTGGTAATTCTGGGGTTGATGCACCCAGGCTACCAGTTGGTATACAGTTGGATGGCGTGCGACTTCGAATTTCCTTAGCAACCACTTAGACACACGTAAGTTTTGTTAATACCGTTTTATTTGGCGAAACGTTGCCTCACTTTGTAGTGTCATTTTTGTATGCTTTTACGTGTGTCTTGTTGATTTTGTTGTAGTGAATGTTTTCATTTTGTCTTGCTGAAAAGCTTTTTCTGTAATCACTACTGTATACTTGAAATATTTCAAAGCTATCAAAATCACCCTAGCTATTTTGTCAGTATTTAAATAATATTCTAACGATAATATACAATAGATACATGTAACAGAGTACTGATTAGTAATTTTTGTTATTTTATATTATTTTGCTCAAGAAACAGCTTCTGCCTGCTTCGGTCTAATCTCATTTGGTAACTGTGAGGTTTCATACACCGCGGTAGTTACTGTCGACCTGAGCAATGGCGATTGAGTGACACCTGTCTTCCATTATCTATGGTCTACCATTAATCAACTGTTCTTGGTCTATGGCACTATGTTGCCAAAGAGCTGGGTCTATGACAAGATTGCCAAAGCTGTCAAGTCGACAGCTGACTTTGCCGCGGTGAACTCAGATTACCATATGGGGTTTGACTGCAGCATTTGGCCGCACTTCGTGTCGTCCTGTGTTTTCTGACCTAATTTTGCTTGAGTTCTGATTGTTTATTGTTTGTTATTGGCCAATATTTTTGCATTTTATTGGTTTATACTGTAATCAACCTAATCACCCCTTCTGATATGTGATGCTTGAGAAATTATTCTTTTAAGAGTCTTGTTTATTAAATTAACTTTTTTTTTAAGTATTGTCAATAATATGTTTATGGGAATGAAAGATATTGGCCATTCTTTTTATTGCATTTTTATTTCAATTTTTGCACATGTATTGTAAGTCTTGTAGCACATGACATGCTCGTTGTTTTCTCTATTTTTTGTTTTCGTGTTCTCACTGTGAACATTTGACAATATATGAAAGTTAAGTTTAATTAATAATAATAACAGTCAAATTTTCACGGCTATCATTGAGTTTAGTCCTATTGAGTGCCCGTAGTAGATGCGTAGATTTAACTGAAGCCTTCGTCGAAGCTGCACTGCCTCTGAGTATTACTTCAGGTACTGGTGGATTTGAAAAAGGGGAACCAGGTACGTTTTCACTGGCGTCGACATCGCCTTTTATAAGTATTCACGAGTTAGGTGCTTCAGCATTGACCAGAGTACACGGTGTGTGCCAAAGATCCGATTTATGTTCATAGCATTAGGCGTTTGAAATAAACCGTTAATCGGGAATGGGAGTTTCATACAGCCAATATTGTGTCACATAAGGTGGTCTGTTGAATAGCTATCGAAACCATGTCTAGGGTTTCGTCTGAATCGTTATTCTGATCAATGTGTATGAACCTGTGTCTTTTGTTTGAATTGACACTCTCTTGGGCAAATTCGCTGATGTCAACGTCCACGGTTCCCCTACCCAGTGGCTGAATAATACTTTGAGGTCGTGTGTGCACTCACATCGTGCAGTTGACGGATCATCGGAGAACGAAAAATTTATGTGCGCATGGTAAGAGTAGATTGTAAATTTCGGCGATATTCTTTCGATGTCATAGTTTTAGAACGTGCCCTTTGGCCTCGATAATGCACCATGAACCTGCTTTTTAGTCTAATTATTAATGTCACGATGTAAGTGAAACTGCGAGGAATTTGAAAAGAGTTATATAAATAGTTAATCTGCTTTCAATGTGTACAATTACCACTATTTGATTTTTATTTTTGAAAGCTATTGGGAGCTTCATTATAACTTGGTGGTAGCACCTTTCTCAAATTTTGAATTTAGTTTCTGATATACTAAACTAGATTTTATTCGTGACCCAAAAAAATGAACACAAAGAAAATCTACCTTTGTTTTCGTTATCACTTCAGCATCATAATACCGTTGTAATAATTAAATTTCTCCAGTACGAATACTCCAGACTTCAGTGACGGCGGCCGAAGAACGCTACTATAACGCGATATCGAATCAGCAGGACAAGGTGGACAAAAACCTGGTCAAAAATCTGATCATCAACTACGTTTTGGCAGCGGCCCAGAGCAGTATGAACAAGTGCGTAATTGTCTCATCTCGATCCTTTAGTTGTGTGAAGTATCATTAATTATTAGTAGTTGGCCTTTTCGCAATGTTCATATAAAAGTTTATAATGTGTAAATAAATATTTATCAATGAAAGATATTTCATATTGAAGAATAACGCTAATTTTGAGTCTGCTTTGCTACCTTACATGTAACGTGGCTAACCAAGTCTGGAAATTCTTATTTGAATCATTCAATTTGAAGACTGATTTGATGAAGAATATTGCAAGTTATTACTTTACAAAACTAACACCTGTGAGAAATATAGATGTTTATACTTTAACATAAGATACAAATCCGAACTTTTCCATTAAAAAACGCCTAAAAGTATTCTTTTTTTTCGATCTTATTAATTAATGCTGCTTCAAGATGGGAGATGCTCGATTGCCTCATTCGCCAGACGAAACAAACATATATATTAAATATTTCCGATAGTGAGAACGACATACAACTCATCGTGAAATCGTTATTGCCTTCCAGGACACAAGTCCTGCGAGTTCTGTCGACGGTCCTAGATTTCAACCAGCAAGAGTGCGAGAAGCTGGGCCTCGTCAGACCCTCCAACGTCACCGACAGCCTCGCCGCTGAGTTCGTCAAGTTTCTGCAAAACGAGTCGAAGCCGCGCGCGCAACTGCCGAACATGATGAATCTGGGCCAGTCTAGGAGCACCACGCCCACTTCCAGAAGGAGTTCCACCATGGGTGAGTCGTGGTTTGTGTGAGACGGTGGTGGACATGCGATTCACCTGAAGTAAAGTTGTCACTTTACTTCAGGCGAATCGCATTTAAATTTCAAATATGTTGTTACCTATATTTATCCTAGTGCTGGACAAAGGCCTCTTCAGTATAGGTATTGCGACATAGTCCACCTTGCGGCCCCACCGCGGATTGGTGGATTTCACATATCGTTGAAATTTTTTTTGCTATTATATCGAAAATATGTAGGGTTTCCTCACGATTTTCCCCTTCATAGCTGAACACGAAAGAATCAGCACTTACAATTAACAATTTTATTGGTGCCGACACCGGGGATCGAACTCAAGTTGCTTGCGTATGTTGAATTATAAGAGAGCACCCTGACAATGAGCTATCGCGGCTTTTCTGATGTCGATTGATAACCGACACCCATAGACATACCACTAATCTAAACGGCTGAATGCCACATCGGTGAAAACCTCAACGTCTTTAATCTACAATGTTTTAAAAAACTTAATTTATTGGTTAAAGCGTCCGGGCGCGAATGCCGACGGCGTGGGTTCGATTCCCGCAGGCGAAAGGCTTTCCGTACTCTTTTCAACAAATCCCAAAGTCAATAACCTTCCCGCCAGGTCCGAACCCGGTGTCCGACCCGGGCCACCGGCGGAACCCGTCCACCGGCTCCAACAACCTGCTCTTCCACAATCTGGAGGGCGACGCCGCGTCCCAGAGGTCGGCCGACTCCGAGCCGAGGGTGGTGCCGCTGAGCCAGATGGACACCGGGGTCAACCAGACCAGGAACAGCGAGGGGGCGATTCTGAAGCACGTGCTGAAGGACATGTGACACCAAAAGTGGCCAAAATGGGTGACAGGACAACAAGTGACGAAGATCCAAATGACAACGGAAGAAGCCAAACTAGTGACGAAGATCTAAAAGACAATGGAAGAGGCCGAACAGCTGATGACTAAAAGACAGTGGAAGGAGCTAATGGCTGAGGTATTTGTAAAGAAGGCCTTACAGTTGATAGTAAGATTTAACTACAAAAATCAGAGCAATTAACGCAAGTCAGATGTTATCTGTGGCATAAATATGTTGATGGTTAACATGGCTGAAAATCTTATCCCGCTTAATACTAATTCCTTTTTATCTATCGTCTGTTGTGTTTATACTTTACTTGGTGAGTCGATTTTTTAAAAAATAATCATTTCAAATAATCTTTCCTGCATATAAAATATTTAATTAATGGTATCAAATTTTCTGTTGCCTTTTTAAAAATAATATTTTTTTTAATTTAACAGCTAATGGGGGAACTAATATCTTACCTTAGTATTATATTTTTGTTCAAATTTTAAATTTCTTTAGTTTTTAACTTCTCCGTTTCATGTTAAAGTTGTCTTCACTTATTTGTAATTATTTCGTAAAGCATGAATATTTACGTACATATGATGTGATGATATCGTTCAACTTTAGCATGGAAAACAAAATGTTTATACTATACAACAATGTCTCACTAACCTTTCCTATTCTTTTTAGAGGTGTCTTGTTTTAGAAATTTAAATTGTTTTTAAGTGCCAATCTTTGCACTTATGATTTATTATTAAAATATGTACTGTCCAAGAAATCTTCGAAAACCAAGATCTAATGCTTCTTTTTAAGCGAAAAGTTGGAAATCGTCAACAAGTACCAAACGATCTGTAAGGACGGATTTCGGAGCAAACATTAATAAGAGTACAAACGAATTGAGAAACTAACTTTTGTTAGTTGAAAAAATGCATAACCGCATTTAAAACGATGCAAACGTGAATTATTTATCGTTTATTGTTAACTTATACTCTTTAACATTTCTTCTATTGTCTCATTTCTTATTATCGATCGTATGATCACTAGAGCAGTCGAAACTATGTCTAATATCTAAGGAGCATACAATTTACACCTTAATGCGGCATGCATAATGTCGCATTTTAAGTATCTATTCGCCATTGACCGAAGAAATGACGGGAAAAAAATGTTTATATGAAGTCTGCTAATTCCTGTTCTAATGCGCCCATCAGTGGGACATATATGATATAAACGAAAATACGTATAATAATCTCTAGGGTAAAGTTAATTTCCTCATAGAAGGCTTTTAAATCCATCGATGGAAGTAATGTTTCCACAAATATGTTACAATATCTAATTTTATTGACTATGTAGTGTTAAAAATATACTTGTATATATTCTAGTTTGTGCCTTACTCGTAATTTTATGCATTTACAAGTTTCCCAGTACTTGTTTCGATTTAGTATATAAAGCTGATTAACAAAGTTATTTTGCACGGTCCATAGAGAATTTTTTTTATCCAATTGCGCGAATCCCTTTGACATTTTTATTTCGGTGTTGCTAGTGTATATTTAATAGAGTTAATAATTTGTTCCATTATTTTGCTAATTATTTTTGGTAATTCTATTGTAATTATTATTATTTTTAATCTTAGTTTTTACTATTGTAAATTTGTTTAATATCCGTTAGCAGAGTTCAAATTTATGTGATCTTTTTTCTAAAATTTATTATTATTTAACGTTTGATTGTATCTTATTTCAATGTATAAATACAACAACAAAATCTTTTATTGATTTTATTTTATACGAAAATATCATAGTATGGCAACATTATAAACGGCCTGTAATTAATGTATGGAATTTTATAACTGCTTCGCCTAATTCATGATAGAAATTAAGAGCTATTCGCCGTATTCTAAAGTTATTGTAAATTTTTATTTGTGAATATTGTTATTAATTTAAATAAATAATTATACGCCTAATGTTGGTTAATTTATTTCTCATCTCGTTTCCTATCTAATCTTTTTTTGTGTGAGAAAGTGGCAAACGTGCTACCGATTCATTCACCTGATGTTAACCGCCCATTCGCCACCGCCCGTGGACATTTGCAACACCGGTTGCACCTTTCAATAAAGCGGGCCCCGGCTGCCTCACTCGCCAGACGAAACGCATAAGTGTAACACTTCTACTTGACGCCGGTCTTCTGTGAGGTCGTGGTGCTTACCCGGACGGGCCTGCACATTCGTGCAACAGCCGAGGCTGCTGCGTGGCGCTACCACCGCAATGTGTGAAAGTCGTCATATCACCTGGTGGTTCACCTGATGTTGAGTGGTAACCGCCGCTCATGGACATTTGCAAAAGCCGTAGAGTTGCAAATGCGTTCCCACCTTTGAAAGTGAGCCCCGGCTACCTCACTCACCATACGAAACGCGAAAGTATTTGTCATACTTCCACTTTACGCCGGTCTTCTGTGAGGTCGTGGTGCTTACCCGGACGGGCCTGCACATTCGTGCAACAGCGAACACTTCTGTGTGGCCCTACCACAATTAAATCTAAATGAGCCAAGAACTGAATTAATCGTATGTAATATATCTTCGGGCTGCCCAGGACCGGGACAGTTGGCGCACTTTGAGGGAGGCTTACGTTCAGCAGTGGACGGCAATAGGCTGATATTGTATTGTATTGTAATATAACTTGATTATAATTAAGTATTAAAGACGTTCTCTAAGTCCGGCCTAGAAACTTTGTTTCTTTTCATTCAGCAAAGGGCTGGATCACTTGAGAAACGTCTAGAGACTGTTATCAAGAAGTCAAGAACTTTAAAATCCACTGTTTATAGCAAGTACGGACTTTATACAGGTTATGAAACTCGACAGAAACCGTAAGTAGAAAGCAACTTCGCTGTTGGGGGGAAATCTAGATGGCGCTGCGATCGAGGTGTGCATCAATCAAACTTAGTTTTTCTATATCTATACTAATATATAAAGAGGAAAGATTTGATTGTATGTATTGAATAGGCTCCGAAACTACTAAACCGATATGAAAAATTCTTTCACTGTTGAGAAGCTACTTTATCCCTGCTTGACATAGGCTATATTATATTTTTTTTAAAATTAGGGAGCCTTACTAAAACTGCAATAATGTTACACAAGGTGTACAAAAATTACCTAGAATATTCTTTACATTGCGTGCGCTGCGAAAACTATTGATGATAGAATAAAATAATGTACTACGACTTTGCAGACCACATCATTATTTACAAAAAGTGTCGCGACAGCATATGTCTAACTATTATAGTTATGCCACAATAAGTGTTCTTTTATTTTAAAATTTTGATTGAAATGCCGCCGCTAACAAAGTCTGTTTATTTGTATCTTGGTATTAATCCTTATAAAAATAAATTACTTCATATTTAAGATTGTTTCAATATCTTTATAAAACTTTTTGAATTATTAAATTCGGACATTTCATTCCTTAGATATTGCAAGTTTAAAAATGTTAGTATATTGTAACTATCCAATTAACTATCCAAACAGCTTAGTGACTGACTTAGTAGTTCTTATAATTTTTCAATCACATTTATATTGGTAATTCCTGTTCAACAGTTATCAAATTAAATACTAAGGAAGTTTAATTTTTTTATCATTTTAAAATGCCCAAAAGATCAATATCTCATGTTTCTAGAAATAGTTCCCAGGCGAGGACATTAAAAATACGTCATAATGAGGAATGTTTACCGGAAACTGAAAATCGTCTTACAAGTTGGAGAGAGTCAAGTAGAGTGTTTGCAGTGGCTTGAAGAGTATAATAATATAAATATACAAATTCACACTAGGGAATCGAGGTCTGAGCGTTCCCAACGTACACGAGATTAGAGAGAAAGATAAAAAACGTCAACGACTAGAGTTCATAATCGAGTTTTAGCTGACAGTAACAGATCAGCTTTCATGCATTTTGCTCAACAGTCTTCCGTCAAAATCGTAGCCACGAATAAGATCTGCACTAAGTGTTCTGCCAAAAATAGGTCGATGAAGCAAATGGTATGTGCTGTGCTTCTAGTCTCCCCAATATTGAGGAGCCGCCACAACCAATAAAAAAATCTTTTTACAAATAATCATTCACCATCGGGACATTTTTAACCAACATCCGAAAGTACAATAGCCTCTTTCAAATGACTTCGTTTGACGCGAACTTTTAAAATAGAGGGACAAGTATACAAGTTATCATTATCCTCCTGCCCCTATCCCATCTAGGTGGGGTCGGCACAACATGAATCATGTTGTAAGCGGTTTTGGCTATATTTTTACAACCAGCCGCCTGCTTGACGTCAACCCTCCTTGGGAAACAAATACCCAGATCAAAATTCAACTGTGTAACTATCATGGTTCATGAGCCTGTTGACAAAGGGACAATCAGGCAGCGGAGTTTTAGTAATAGGGTCCCGTTTTACCCTTTGGGTACGGCATCCTAAAAAGGCCCCGGAGATATAGTGTTGCACGGTAGACACGGCCAACTTAAAAGGGTCTCTGAGTTACACCGATTGTATGATCTTAAAAATTTTGTTAAATACCCGTGCGAAGCCGGGGCGGGCCGCTAGTATCATATAAAGTTTAAGTACCTGGAGGACCGAGCTTTGCTCGGTTTGTTTTTTTTTTGGTAAATCGTGTATTTTGGTAATTACATTTAGATAAAAATTACTGAGTAATGAAATATGCATAATATTTTCGATCTTACCGATGTAATAATAAGAAAATATGAACTGGTGTTTTTCACAAAAGAAAGAACTTATAAAAAACGGGAAGAAAGAACAAAATCATCTAGATGGACAAAAAATAAAAAAATAAGAAATCAGTGACACGAACCACAGCCTACTGTTTCGAGGCCGCCCGATTACCGACCGAGCTATTATAAAATTTTTTTTTCGGTGAAATTTACCGTCATATTCGAATGATATTTTTCATTCCCTGAAAACAGAGATAAGAGGACATTTTCTAAAAATGAAACCTAGCTAGATCGATTTTT